GAAGGGAATATTTCAAAACAGGAGGGATCGGTTAACCATGCCTAATGCTGTGGAAAAACAAGAAAATGAGGCTGAAATTTATCTCCAGTAGTGAGCATCAGTGAAGTTCTCTGTGACAGCTTCTCTTAGAATCGTTGAGAGGGGGATGGGTTTCAGGGAATAGGTGATGAGTATAATCTTACCAAAATATTCAAGATAGTATACATCAAAAATGATCCAAGTCCTCCTTGATGTTTTTTTGTCCCTTTTTCTGTCTTACAAAAGTCTTCCCTGTGTTACCTCATGTGTTATCTTACATTTCAAGTAAGTAGCTGTACAAAATATAATGGTTTGATGTATAATGTATATTTTAGTGATTTTTGTTTTCCATGCTTTCTTTCTCTCTCATCCCTCTATGTGTTTTCTCTCTTCTTCATACTTAGTATATATCTATAACTAACACATATAGCTGTCTTTCATATTAACAGAAGCGCCAATATTACATTGTAAGTCATAAATAAGAAAATGCTGTATTTATATAAGATAAAATAATTGCATATGTGATATACTATAGCTAAAGTTTATCTATTCAGCAGCATGAAATATTTTTCCAGGGTTTCCATTTGTTGGAAATATGCTTACAGCTTACAGGCACAGTGTTAAGGTCCAATTAAGAGACAAGCTGATCCCAGACTCATTCACATTGCTTTGGGCAGGCCCTGGGTTGTTGTGTATTGGGTAAAGATGTCTGTTGTTGCCACATGAGCTAGAGTATAGGTGGGAGTATGGAGTACAGGGAGTGAATTATAGGGTAGCTCACTGCTGTTTTCATTGGGGACAATTTTGCACACCGCCCAGCACATACAATCTAGAAAAATCTAAACATGAATATAAATTATGCAAATGTACAAAATTTAATAATTGCATTAGCCATCTTCATGTGTTCATAACGATACGCACTGGACCTCCCTGGGGTGTTCTATACTTGCAAATTGCAAATTCTAGGCTTGGTTCTCTGATGGATAGAATGGGAAGATGGAGTGTCCCTATCTGTTTATGGATTTCTAGTGTTTGTCCTAGTTTGTTTTGTCTGTAGTCAGTTTTATTTTATTGAAGACTTATTTATGTATATAAGAACTGGGGCACAGGCCAAAGGTGTGGGGGTGAGAGGATACACCAGAGCAGGCAGACTGAATGAAAACGCACTGATGAGAGGAGCAGCGGGTAAGACAGGGGAAGTCTGCTGCACTATGGGGGTTGTCTCTTTGGCCAGGAATGGAACTCACGCCACAGTGGCTTCAGACAGCTTCATAAAGCTGTGCTTTAACCCCTTGAGCCATCAGAGGGGGCCCTATGCCTTATTTTAATTTATTATTAGTAAGGATTTATTTATGCATACAGAACTGGGGTACTGGCCACATGTGCAGGGGAGGTGAGAGGCTTCACCAGAGACAGAGCAGACCCACAAAGTACACTGCTGAGGGGGCAGTAGGCGGGTCAGGAGAGGTCTGCCGTGCTTGTGTCAACCTCGGGGGCAGGGTATCGAACTCACACGGACGCTGCTGCCGCTAGCTTGCAGTGGAGTTTTATTTTAAAAGGCTTTTGTGGTGGGTTTAATTGCAGTCTTTAAAAGAATCCTGAAATGGGACCAAGCTGTTTGCCTTCGCATGGCAGAGAGAGCGGTGCAAGACCACAATGCCATGGGGGACTTTGCCCAAAAGCAGTGAAGAGATGCAGCACCTACGCCCGCTGCAGGGGCGTCATGTTACACATGTTTTACATGCACTTACTTTACAGCCTTGCGGCTGCTAAGTTTTTTGCTTCTAGAATTTCCTTGCCTGTTTCCTTTTGTCCTATTCCCCCTCACGCACTTTAATCAATGCATTTACCAGTTGTTCCATTACTGTGCTCCATTGATGCCCCCCAAATGTTCATTTTCATAGAATTTTATTTTGTTATCTTGACTCACTTCTAAGATGCTTGTATCTCAAAACAGTAAGGTCCAATTGAAGCCTCATCACAACTCCATTCAATTGGCCACACTGAATGGTTATGCACCAATTAATATGCCAGCCAAAAGAGAGCAAGATTGTCTCTGTGGTCAAGAATAATCCATCTACCCAGTATTATAGATATGTGAAAGAAAGAACACAGCATAGCTGATGAGATGATTATAAAAATTAACAAAGAAGCAGCTCAGGAGGGGACAATAAATTCTTCTGAAGCAGAGGGAACTTTGAAAGGATTCTGGGAAGAGGGAGATGTAAGCCAGGAACTGGTATATACTGTGAAGCATTTATGTCCTGGACTTGGGAGTCAGGAAGAAGCTATTTTGAAAAGGAAAGAAAGAGGCAAAACATAGAGACATGAACACTAGCAGGTGTGGGCTGCCCAGCAGTGGGAAGACATGATACCCTCTTCCAGGTCTTCTAAGGAGATATGTCCATTGGTTCCTAAGCCTTGCACCAAATCCATGTTTTAAGTTTGGCTGTTACTTTCATGCCTCATTCCTCTACACACACACACACACACACACACACACACACACACACACACACACACACACACACACACAAGACTCTCCCTCCCTTTCCTTTCTCCCCACCTCATATAACCCTCCTCCCTTCCCTTCTTTCCTTTTATGGAAATCTTTTTGGTGTTTAGGCCCTGGATTTAATTTAGTGGGATTGGACTGTAAGAATAATGTTTCTGTACATTTGCCCAGAGGCCTTCAGCTAATGGGCGTATTCTTTACAGACCAATAAACAGATGAATAAAGCCAGCCTGTATCTTAAGTCTCTGCCTCTCTTCTCTTTCTTTGCTCTATACCCATCTTCCAGTGGCTGAAACATTTCTTGAAAACGAACATTTTCTTGAATAGCTTAAACATCAGATGGTTGAAGTTGCCTCTGCACCTCACCTGCCAGTCAGTTCTAGTTCCACAAGGTAGGGGGCTTTCCGTTGGCTGGTGGGGACAGCCAGGCTACGTACACCAGGCCCCGAGCACTGGGCGTTCCCCCTACTGAGAACCTTGCATTAACAGATGGCAGTTGCTCACTTCTCCCTCTTTGGAGCTGACTTTGACTTGATGTCATTAAATAAACTGATAAGGTCTTGGCTGACCACATCACCCTGAGGAAAATAAATCTGAAGCTCTCTAAAGCCAGGATCCACGCCTGAGCTCCCAAACAGACAACTCAGGAGAGGAGCCATCAGGATGGTCCATGAATGAGAAATTCACCAAACTGCATCCCTTAGGGTTTCCTCAGCCCAACAAATATACATATGCGTACACATGGTGCTTTGTGTTCTTCACCAGGCCCTGCCTTGCTTATCCGCCTTTCCTTCTGAGCCGCTGCTCCCCACCTGCCTCCCCCTGAACATTCTGTTCCCATTTCACTGAGCTAACTTCAGGCTCCCTCTCTGACCCCAGGAGAGTACCCCCTCCTACCACCGGGGAGACTTTCCACACCGCAGTCTCCAAGGGTTGAGGTCATGATTGGCCGAAGTTCAGTGTCTCCATCTGTCTGAGCTTCCCAGAAAACATGGTTGCTGCTCTCCCCTCTCTATTCTGTGTTTTGCCTTAGCTCCATTTCGCATCTGCTTTTTCCTTTCTCCCCAACCCCCACCTCCCAGCCTTTTCTTTCCCCTGACTTTCCCTCAGACTAGACTCACATCTGTTTTCCAGTCTCTGTGCTCTCACTGTGGAGCAGATGGGAGGAGAGTAAGTTCTGGGGCAGGCAGATTGGGAAGATCTGGGTCTTGGGCTCAGGTTTGTTCTGGGGACAGGCAGAATCCATGTGTATCAGTGAGTCACAGTTCTCTCAGCGGAAGCAAAGGTGACATTTTTTATGGCAGACTATAACCATTGTTTTCCCTTTTTCCCAACTAGACAGCTAACTGGATTCCACCTGGCCTATCTATCTATCTCTCCCTCCCTCCCCCCTGCCTGTTTTCTTACCCCCCTCCCTTTTATCCTTCCCTTCTTCCTTCAATTATTTACACTTTTCTTTCTTCTAATCTGCAGTCTCTTAATACTATCTGCTATTTCTGTCCCTAAGTAGGGAGATACAAGGAGACTAAAAAGGAGCTAGGATAGCTGACTTCACACTTCATGTTTTCAGTACACATAAAGTCAACCAGTTCTCAGATTTGAGATTCTCTAGTTCAAGTTGATTCCCTCCAAAGTGGAGATATTTTAACGGACTACCCACTGGAATTTCTATGAATTGGAGCACGATGTTTTTAAGACTCCTGGAGCAAAGACAGTATTATCCACATATTACATGATACCAGGGAAAGAACTGGTGGAAAATAAGGCAACTGGAATGAACCTGGCTCCCACTTTTCGTTGGACTTCTGATGGCATTTTGTCCTTACGAATCCAGAAACCACGATTCTTAGCAGAGGTTTAAACAAAGCCAAAAGACAGAAATGTCTGGCATCTCCTCTCACAGAGCCCCTCCACATTTCAGAAGGGTCCAGGGGTTCAGTATTCCTCAACTTTTCCTAACCCAAACACAGGCCACCCTCCTCTTACACAAAAGTCTTGTGTTTGTGTTTGCTTGGATGTAGAGGCCAATAGAATTCCTGGGGGTAAAATAATCTAAAGGGGGGTGGGGGGAGAGAGAGAAAACAGAGGAATTAATTAGTGCTGAAGATAAAAATGAAAAGTGAAGAGGATGCAGGAATGATCTGTGGAAGATGGCCAGAGAGATAGAAGCAGATCTGGCAATGTGCATTAGAATTCTCCAAGGACAAGACAGAAGTATTTAGATAAGATGGAACCCAAGGAAAGGGGGGCTTTGGGGAGATGGCAAAGGGGAAGAAATAGACTCATGGATAAAAGGCATCTGCGCCTGGGCCAACACTGTCTCTCACCAATGTGGTCATAACTTCTGGAATGAGGGTGTGAGTGAAATTCCCACCACTATTCTCATTCCAGCTTCAGTGTAGCTTTGCACTGTGCTCCTCCTAGGCTAGTGTCTTTCTCTCTTTCCCTCTTTCTCCCACTGCCCCCCCACCCCACCCCCCTGTCTTGCACTCCCTCATCTCATTGTTTCAGATGAGGCCAAATTAAAAGTTCGTTCCAGGGAGTGGCCTGTTCATCTTACTCTCCAGCCAAAGTAGAAACAGCGCGAGAAGGAGAGAGACACACTCAGCAGCCAAAGGACTTGGTGGAAAGAACAGAGGATCCTGGACAGTGAGTTGCTTGTATAAAATCCTAAATGGACAGAGGGAGTGTATGTGTGTGTATGTTTCTTGAAAGGCTTGAAGGGAACAATGGGGAGTGTCAATGAACTAGAGTTGAGCAGACACCCCAACCCTTAAAAAATGAGGAGACACCAAGATGAGGTGAAATAAAGAAATCACAGTGAAAAGGAAGATAAAACGATGTAAGTGAACAAGGTCACAGGGAGGGGAAAAACGCGGGCCATTTAGAATATAAAATTTCCTCTAACTTGGCAGAAGAGGAAGAAAAACGTTGATACCAAGAACAGAGTTTGAAGGAGAAATGAATGTTGAGTGAAAGATAAAGGGGGACCTCCTGGCAGTCTAGGGGTTAAGTCTCAGTGCTATCTCTGCTACCGAGTTTGATCCCTGGCTAGGGAGCTGAACCACATTTGGCGCAGCAGACCTCTCCTCCACTGCTTCCCTTCAGCAGTGCATTTCAGTAAATCTGTGTATTCTGCTCCCACTCTGTCTGGTGAATCTTTTCAGCTCCCCACACCTCTGGCCTGCACCCCAGTTTTTCTATGCAAAAAAAGTAAAATAACATCAGAGTGAGGACCTGGGAAGTCAGTGAGGGCTGTGAAGTTACCAGAGTAGCCTACTTAGAAAAAATGAAAGATGAAGGGAGTCACTGAGAGGCATCAGGAATTCCCCACAGATGACCTTCCTGGGGCTGGCCTGCTGATGGCGCCCCTGAGCATCACTGTGTCTGTATTCCTGCCTCCTGTCAGACATGCTGCTCTCAGGACCAGCTGTGCTGTTGCTGCTCACTGCCCTCATCATCCCCTCTGGTGAGTCCCTGCCTTTATTATTTTTCCTCTAACATGACAAGTCCTGGGCTGTATATGTGTTTGAGGGTGGAAGGAAGGAGCTTGAAGGGAATGGGCAAAATGTGGTGTTTGCTGTTGAGTTCAACTGTTACTAAAGAGAAGAAAAGAAGAAGGAGTGGGTGTTGAAAAAGAAAAGGCAGAGAGACATGACTGGAGGTGACCTCGGACTCAGGGAGCAAAGAGTCATTCAACAATAGCAAAGGGAGAAGAAGCTGAGATACAAATGTAGACACCAACTTAGAGAGACCAAGTAATAAGCTGCTGGACCAAATTTAAATGCTGAAACATAAGAAAGGGAAGCATATTCAAAAATACCCTGCATAACACTAGCACCAGCTCTGATACCAGTATATTTATGTGCACACAGAAAAACATACACCCTAAGTAAACACAAAAGAAAAATTATCTTCACTAATTTTCCATAATCTAGTTAGAAGACTGACCATAGAGAAGGAAATTGGGCTTTTAAGAAATCTTGTTCCATTACATAAAGACTGAAAAACATCACTTGTGGAGTAGTGTTAATTATGGGCTATGGGGACAGAAGTCAGGACATTGTACCAAGGCTACTGATCCACTCTAAAATAGAACCCCTCCCTGGTTGGGGTGACATCAAGAAAACAGCCTGAGTCCAAGCAGAGCAGAGCAGGATTTTGTGGTTGACTACTTGCCTTTCTTGAGTGTTTGTACTCCTGCAACTTTGTATGTAGCTCTAACCATTCATGTTGTGCTAAATAGAAATACTACACAGAGAAGATAAAGTACAACCATTTGGTCATCATTTATCTGTTTCTGGTTTCACTAAAGAACCAGAACATGCTGCTGGAGTCACTAATACAGTTTTTTTTTTTCTTTTCCTTTGGTACAGACTGGACACCCCTAGGGGCCAATGGCCAACGAGGAGGTAGGTGAACCCTGGGATTTAGGCAACTGGGATTCTCATCTCACAGATGAATAATCAGAGTTAAAAACTCTCAACTACAGTGGTGGGGTGTTGCCAAAGTGTGAGGAATAGGATCTATCTCAAAAGTTTCCATAATGTAGTCATCCCATTACTAAAAACCTGGCCCGTTTTTCCTGGATCCAAGAACTAACCAGGCCTGACTCTGCTTAGCTTCCGAGATCAGGCATGTTGAGGTAGTATGGCCGTAGACTTTCCTAAGACCTTCTCTATAGATCTCTTATATCACTCAGAAAATGCTAATGGAAAACATTTTCATAAATCAGTGCTACAGTGAAGAAGTTGAAATGCAAAGATAAGCTAAGAAGACAGATCTGTTCTACAGTGGTTCATGACACCAGAACAGAACCACAAAATTCTGACTCCTTCAAGGAGCATTTATTTCATCCTGATGAAGGAAACTGATCAACTCTACTCTGCCTCAAGGCAATCAACATAATTAACAATTTCTCTCTTCTTTTTCCCAACCCTTGAGAGTGCTTAAGTATGCAACCCTTTAATGGAGCATAAAATCCAATTTATGGGTCACAATTGGTCATTCTTTAATGTGTTAGGGCAAACTAAAATAACAAAATCACTGTGAATTGCAAGTCTACACCACAAATAAAGTGTTATTCTTCCAGTTTTATGTATGTACACTGGGACACAATAATTTCTTATTATTGATACAGAAAATAAAAATACCTGCCCTGAGCCCACTTGTGGATTAAAAAAGCCAGAATCCCTGCCTTAAAAACTACATCACATTTCCGTACTCATAAAACTAAACACTCTGAATTCATTTCTCTGGGCTTTTTAAGATCCAGTCGTGTTTTATGACATTAGGGTGATTTTGTAGCAGAAATACTAGCAGATATGAAATTGTATCCTTAAAATTTTAAACTCCTTAATAATTCAGAGAAACATTGTGAATCTAAGATAAAGCATGTAATATAGTGGCAGCTCAAGGAAAATGTGGATTAAACTAAGGTCTGTGCAGAAAAAATGGTATTCAGTCCTAAAATCCCGAGGAGACATCTTAGATCCACTCTTAAACCCAACCATGGTTTCACTTTATATGAGTGAATGGACTGGAATGTGGATGAAAAAGGGGGACCAGGGCAGGACGGGACTACACCCAGTACAGCTTCTGGAATAATTTGTCAGTGATTTTTTCAAATATCCACTGGGATTTGACCAGACTTAGATTCTTTGATCAAAGTTTGTTCTAAATAGAAAGAAACTCATACTGAGTATTATAGAAAAGGGGGCTTGTCAGTTCTGATGACCTTTATCTAGAATTTTTAATAAGTCATAAGGAGTAAGCAGGAGAAATTACTGCCAAATATTTTATGCATTTTGCCTTCAATACAGCGATCCATATCTGGCATCTTTATACAGTGCTACTCTCACCAATTTTATAGCTGGCATCTGGGCGCTGAAGTTATAAAGTAAAACTGTAAATTTGCTGACCCCTAGTGGGTAAAATAGATCATGACAATTCATCTACAAGGAAGGATTACAGATAAACTGTTGTTAAATATTTAGATGTTGACAGCACTCTCCTTTGTTTTACTTTTTTTTTTTTTTTTAAGTCGAGACAGCCTGATCTGAGGAAGAGTTGTTATTTCAATGGGCAGACTTCTTACTTTGTTCTAATAGCTTCCACCTTAACACCTGGACCTTTTTTATTTCTTCTCCCATTGAGCAACGACAAAGGCATTCCTCGCTAACATTTGCTGTCCTCTCCCCTCTTTTCACCTCACTTCTCACAGAGCATCACAAAACCATAAACATCACCCTGTGAGAGTACTTTTATATCAGCAAGCTGACACTGAATTATGTCAAAATTATAAATTTTAAAATCATATTTTGGTATAGACAAATAAATATTGAAAGAGATCATCAACCCATTGTAATTATTAGCAAGTTCTGTGACCTTGAGCTTATTTTCGTGGTGCTTAGTTTTATCAATTATAAAAACAGCGAGTTAAACAAAGCCTAGATAGTAACCAAAATTTGTTCAACATATTATTCTATTCATATTATTTAAGACAATGAAATGTACCCTATTTCTGCTATCCAATAAATACTTAACCAAAGTCAAATGTAGAGAAGAGCTGCTATGGAGGATATCTGACAGACATGGAGTTTTTCATCCCTCTAGATAAGACAACGGAAAAAAGTAATCTAGACTAGGACTAAGTAACTGTATTCATAGAGTACGAAATTTGCTTTGATCATAGGGGAAAGGGCACAGGAAATAAGCAAAGAACAATTGTGTGAGTACCTAGTGTGTGCTAGGCACCAAATCAGCAATTCACTTAGAGTACAATGGAGTCAAAGCTGACAGAGTGCTCAGAACAGGCTTTCTAACTTTTCTTTCAGATGATGATGTGACTCCAGAGCCGTTCACAGAAGATCCTAGTAAGACAACTTTGCTTTCATACTGGGGTTAAAAGTATTAGGGATGATGCCTGCGCAAAGAAAAATGAAGACCTAAAAAGGAGATTGGTGGGTGTGCTGGGGAATGCAGGAGTCATGTGTCTGTCATCCAGGATGTGAAATTTTTGATCTTTTTGTCCTTCTGTGACGGTCCCTTATAATTGCCACAGGACCCACATTCTTTCAAGTAACTGTTTCTTGCCTTCTCCTAAATCATGCTTTTCTGGGTCCCCCTGGTGACCTAGGGGTTAAGTCTCAGCTCTATCACCTCTATGGCCTTAGTTTGCTCCCCAGTTATGGAGCTGACCCACATATAACACAGCAGTCCTTCCCTGTCTCGCTCGCCTGCTGCTCCCCTCAGCAGTGTATTTCTTCTTTTATTTTGTGTATTTTTTTTTGAAGATTTATTTATTTATGCATACAGAACTGCGGCGTAGGCCAGAGGTGCAAGGGGTAAGATGACTCAGAGACAGAATTGGGAGAACAGGCATATCAATGAAGTGCACTACTGAGGGGAGCAGCAGGTGAAACAGGAGGGGTCTGTTGCGCCACGTGGGTCAGCTCCAGGGCCAGAGTTTGAACTCATGCAGAAGCAGCTGCAGGGCAACCTTGCAGTGCTGCACTCCAATACATTTCACCACCAGGGAGGGCAGTCAGCAGTGTGTTTCAGTACATCTGCCTGTTCTGCTCCCCATTCTGTCTCTGGTGAAGCTTCTCACCCCCTGTATTTCTGATGACCAACTCCCTAGTTCTACAAAAAGGCCCGTTTTTCCTGCTACCCTTTGCTGTTCTTCCTACCTGCAATTTTTCATTCCATTTTGGGGATCTTTGCAGATCTGGTGAATGATCCCGCTACAGATGAAACAGGTAAGTTTTTACTGCAGTTCTTTTCAGAATGGCATGATTTTTGTTATCTTTCACTACATTTATTTTAGCCTGAGTTGATCCTATGTATGCATTTTTTTTATCTTTGGGAGAGGAATAGAGGGGTTTGGGGGGTATTTTTCAATGACACTGGGGTAGAGAGACCTCTTGTTCTCTAAAAAAAAGAAAAAAGTGGATTCATAAATAAATTAAGGCATGAATAATATATACATCTCCCAAAATAGTATCTCAGTAGACCAAATATTCCTCCAAATCATTCATGATTATTTCTGTTAGTACTATTCCCCTAGACATAATACACAAACCCAACCTACACCTTGCCCTCGCCTTGATATCACCATTCTTTCTTTTTTCTTCTCTGCCTCCCCCTTTGCAAATTCTAAGCTGTCCTCACACCTGCTGTTTTGTGCCTTTTCAGTTCTGGCTGATATCGAAGATGACCTGGGTGAGTTCAGATCTGGGACCCCAGGGTCACCAGGGCCGTTCTGGGCTTTCCCCAGTGCCCATGATGGAAGGCAGTATAGTTGGTGATGAATCCCCAAATGAATGTCTATGTAGCACATTCTTTCAACACTGCAATTTAAATGAATGACATTTTTGATCCCTCTACAAGGAAGAACATTGCTAGGTGTCATCTGCCCCACTAAATACCAAGCCCTGACCTTTCTTTCAACGTTTTCAAGATGGGTACAAAGCAGGACAAACCCACACAAGAAATGTTTGGGGAAATAAAAGTAATCTTTCTAGAAGATGTAATGGTTGGATTGATTCTCAGAAGTATTGGAGCTAACCAGGGAGTCATGCAGGGCCAGAACATTCTAGCCTGAGAAGTAGAATGCCCAAAGAAGGCAGCTGGAAATATTGGAGAAACCGAGTTTTTTTGTTTAATATTTAGGGGGGAAAGCTGAAGGGGACAAGAGGCAGGACAGAAACTGGATAATTTTTCAAAAAGTTCCTGAGAACTTGCTACTAGGTCAATTCATTTTCTTTTTCTATAATTCTTTGTCCAATAGACTGGATTGACAAGTGATTGTATAACTTTGTGATTCACAAAATGCTATCATAAGAATAAGCAGTCTCAAACAAAAGACCCAATTGTAGTCCTTAAGTATACTCTGTGTTGGAGGTCAAGATGCCTCATTGACTACAATGTTTCCTGAAGACAAGTAGAAGTGACTCCTGTAAATAGAAGAGGGAAGAGCTTCCAGATAAAGAAAATCATATTGTCAAGGATTTAGGATGGAAACAAAAATCACTGTGAGTAGTTTATGCAAAGGAAATTTCCAATCAGAATAATCAATTGGAAAACCAGCAATTGAAATCATGGTATAAGTGAGAACACCTAACATACTTCTTACAAAAACATATTTTATTAGCAACTCTTTTCCTTCTGTGATATATAGGTATCACTCACATTAGCCTTTGACTTGTTCTCCATTAATCAAGCTAAGCCTAAATTACTTTACCTCTAGGTCAGCATTGGCTAAGGCTCCACTATTCTTTAGCCAACAACTTCATTCAACATAAAAGAAACCATGCTTGATGTATATAACGTACAAAAGAAATTTATGAGAACAAGCTTCTCCAAGATAATAACCTTTTCTCTCTTTAGCTTTAAGCTAGAACTCTTCCAGGCATTACTCTTTGCCTTGTGTCCCTAATAACTGTTTCCTGTCACACCACAGAAATACTCACAAAACAGAACTTCAACTCTCCAGGAGAGAGAAGAAAGGCAGAATCAAACTTCCAATCCAAACTTCTAAAATCTCTCTAATTGTGTGGCTCAAATCAGCCCATTATAGATTTTCTTTTATAAGCTGCCAAGTTGTTAACTCATTTGTTTCCTACTTATGGGTGCCGTGTGAGCAACATGACAGTTTCAGAGATAATGCTTTCTAGAACTAGTAATAATTGGCTAAAACGTTTGCTTTCCAGCTTCGTCCAATGACCGAAACACCACCGCGGGTATGTCGCCTACATGTCTTTTCTTCCTGTGAATCCCTTTACCTCCCTGCTCTTAGAAAGCAGTTGGTACTTTAGTTTTCTTTCTCAAACAATACTTTTGATGCCACTTATAAGCCCTCTCCCGATACTATGCACCCCTCTCTTAAAAGTCAGGGGAAAGATCAAACCCTTGGGGGAATGGCCCTGTTACCATCTTTGACACCTTTTGGTGAGTGGATTTGACTCAGAATTAACCACCAATGTCAAAAACTGCCTTCTTGAGATACTAACAATTTTGATGTGTATCCAGGGTCGAAAACACCTAAACCAGAAAGTGACCCATGTCAGGAAAGGATTGATAGGATTTCAATTTGATATATAATGTTGCTACCTGGATAACCTTAAAAGGAATTTTGCCTCCAAAAGCCATAAGTTCCAGTAAGGCAATACTTTCTTCCTTGCCAATTTCCTATTGCTTGCTTTGCTCTTGTAGAGACAGCTTTTTTTTTTTTTTTTTTTTTGCCCATTCTGTCTCCCCTCTCCAGCCTTTCCTTTATGTTTCTTCCAATTTTTGTTTTGTGTGTGTGTGTATGTGTTGGGCTTCTTCAGAGTGCCGGGATGAGAAATTTGCTTGCACAAGACTCTATTCTGTACATCGGCCAATCAAGCAATGCATTCATCATCAGTTATGTTTCACCAGGTAAGGGTCCCAGAATACCCAGAGACCAACTTCTATAGTGGTGTTTTGGTATCGTAATTGTTTATTGAGCACCAACTATGCAATGTCAGTATTTACGGAAGAGGTTTGGGACATACCTCTTAGCCTACTCCTCAAGGTGCTAGAACCAAGAATGAGACTGAGGAGAACAGGCTGATTAGGAAGTCTAGATGTTTGAAGGCAAGCGAGGATGTGGGCCAGAGACAATCTTGATGGACATACAAGTTGCTTGACTCTATAGGTGTAGTGTGCAAAGTGTCTCTAAGAGTTACCACTAATACCATTTCATCTCCTGTACTCTCAGGAAAGGGGGAATGTGGCTAATTGTGAAATCCCTATGGAAACCCAGACAGGGGAGACAAGCAAGAGTGGGGAGTAGAGGTACTGCCGGCCTCGGTCAGCTTGCCCCCTCATGCCTTTTCTCCCTCCTTCCTTAATTATGCATCGGTGCTGGTAGTTTACGACGAATGTACATCATCAACAACGAGATCTGCTCCCGTCTTGTCTGTAAAGAACATGAAGCTATGAAAGGTAAGGTGACTGTTTATTGAGCTGAGTAAGTACGCCTGGTCTTCTTACTCAGGAACCCGCTTCTTTTAATGGGGTTTTTAGTGGGGAGGGAGAACTATAAGAAAGGTTAAGTGGGGACACCATACTAGCGAATCCAAGTCCAGGGTTTAGAGAAGAACTTAAGACCCCTGCAGCCCCTACTCCACCAAGTCATCACAGTTAAACGATACAAACCAAACAGTATGCTTAGCATATAAAAACAATTACAAGAAAAGTTCCTTAAGATCTCTTTCTGACTGGAAACCTCAACCTCTCTTAAATATACAGAGCTTGCTCAAACTCTACTTCCTCTGAAGATCATTTACAGTTCTTGATAGAAAAACCAGGCAGCCCTGTCAAACACTGCCCACTAATCACCAGCTATGGTCCAAGCTCTAAAAGGAAAAGGAAAAAGAACCCATGAATTGAGATAGTAGTGTTTGGATAGGATTCGTACACTTATTTTTTAATGGACATTTTAAGACATTTAGAAACTATCTAGATTTTACATAGTCCACCAATTTCAGGAAAATTTACAGTATTTTTTGTAAGGTTTCAGGGTCAATAGTAGAAAGACTTTATAAGGATAATCATAAGTGTGGTTATAGACCATGCAAGGTGAGAATAAAAACCTTATCACCTTCCTCCACCGGCCAGCCCCAAACGAGGGCTGTGGTTGGGGAAGGTGCCACAGACACAGCTACTTCTGACTCAGCACCCGCCTCGCACTGGGTCCTGAGTAAGAGCTGTAGTTAACTTCGCAGAAGGAAACTTATTGCTTGCCCGCTAGGTTGTGTGCAGGCCACCTGCAAGGGAAGCACCTTGAGGTGGAGGAGTCTTTGGGACTCTAGGCACTTTCAAGAGTCTCAGGGGACTTACTAAGTTAGTTATTTGCACCTAGTAAACAGTACTGAATTAAATAGTATTGAATGAGTGGACCTCATTTTATCTTTTTGACTACTTAATAAACCCATGATCAGAACAACTGGGAAATAGGTATATAAGTGAATCTTGTATTTATTGCTCACCAGGATTAGGTACTTTGCATATCTATCCCCCTTTATTATAACTGCGTTGCTGGAGCAGGTGTTTTAATGCTTACAGTGAGGTTCAAAGAATTAAACTTTCTAATAAAAGGGTGAATAACAATAAAGTGTTGGTTTCTATACCAGATCTAGTTCTTTCATTCCAACACACTGCCGCCTTCTCTTTCCCATAAGACAAAAGCCCATTATTTTTCCCATCATGCTCTGCTTCCCTTCTAGATGAAATTTGTCGTCAGATGGCTGGCCTACCCCCAAGGCGACTTCGACGTTCCAACTACTTTAGGCTTCCTCCCTGTGAAAATGTGGATTTGCAGAGACCGGGTGGTCTGTGATGACCAACCAGAAGTAAAGAAAATGCATGGATGAGAGGAGAGAATGCCAGAGAATGGCGAGTGCCTTGTCCAACCATTGCCAGCTAACCCATAGACATTAGGATTTCTTAACCAGTCCCTTTGCAATGTCTAGCTTTTGCCCCTACTCCCGGATATTTCACTTCTTTTTAGCACTTCAGACAAAGCCTATTATTGCATGATTTATCCACTTCCCAATATCATAAACATAGCAGATAATTGACGACCATGTGGCTTCTATGCAGATATTCTGTGTATAATTTCAACTTTAGATAGAAGCTGTGATTGTATTGACTAGTCATAGGATTTCGTTTATTTTCCCTCCAAGACTTTCCTAGATTTAAATTCCCCTTCATCTACATTATTTTGCTGGATAGAACTAATCATCTGGCAAGTCTTCCTTAAGGATCACAGCGATTTTTATAGTCCTGGCGCAATTCTGCAAAGCCAGTTCTACTGACATTATTAAGACTCAAAATGCTTTACAAAAAAGAAAAAAGACTCAAAATGTTTTCTGTTACAGTCTAAGGATAAATAAACGAATGAATTTGGGCTTATACTTCCATTTCTCATGTGCATGCACAATGGTAAGAAGGGCCGGAAATAAGTCTCAATTACTTTCTCACCTTTGGTAGTGTTGGGTTTATCCCACCTCCACAAGATAATTGTGAAACCAAATCACTGGCCCAAGTTTCCTTCAGTTGGTGCTATTTCTTTCATTCTAACCACTTCCCAAAATATGTAAGGATTATTAGTATTAGATCCTGATTTGGGTCCTAAAAGGGAATTTCTTGCCTGCATATTGAATGAGAGGTGGTATTCCCACCAGAAAACTCCTCAGTGCTAGGATTGTGTATCACAAATTAAACATTTTAAAATAAAAATTTACTCTAATAATCTTCTTAGAAGAGAGTTTTCTGGGTTTTTGTTTTTTGTTTTTTGTTTTTTTTGACTCAAAGATTCATTTATTTATGCATACAAGAACTAGGGTATAAGCCAGGGGTGAAAGGATTCACTAGAGACATATTGGGAAGCAGAACAGGTGAGCCTACAGTGAGTGAGACAGGAGAGATTTTCGTTGCCATCATGTGGCCAGGGGTTATATCTAGGCCATGGAGGTGATAGAGCTGAGAGTTAATCCCTATGCCATCAGGGAGGCCCCTCTTTTTCTAAATGTATACTTTAATCCCACTTTGAAAACTGAGTACCAATACCAAGTAGTAAAAAATTTCCCTATTCCACTATTCTGTTGTGTCCTTCTTCACTCTACAACTTCCCACCATTGGTTTTCGAACATGTGACATTTACTTTCCTTCAGGTGATTTGCCAAAAAAAAATTTTTTTTCGGTCCCCTTCAAGACCCAATGCTAGGTAGTTTCATGCTTTACCCTCATTTCTCTTGTGTGTTAGGAAAGTCCCGTATTTTGCCATTTTTCTTCCACTCTCTCCTTTAAAAAAAAATTTCTAACATGCAGTCCTTTTCTCAGAGAAAAGTCTTAGGGCCCCCTTAACTTTCCCTTAACAATCCCAGGTCCAAGTTTCAGGGGTTTATTTTGATGCGTTGCCTCTTTTCCCAGAAACATTCTTCCTTTCATTCATTGCTTCTTTACTTGTGTGTGTGTGTTTTTTTTAACCCATGTCCTATTTCAGGTCCCAGTGTTTCTAGTTTTCTTTTCCTTTTTTACTCATTATGATACTGATATCTATTTCCTGCTGAACACAATGACATCTACTTTACTTAGGAAATTTATGAAAACATTTATTTAAACCACAATAATGCAACTTTGGATGTGCTGAAGTTCAAGGATTTGGTAAAAGTATCTTTGCGCAATTGTTTAAAAAGATGTTTTATCTATGCATACAAGAACCGGGGTGCAAGTCAGAGGTGCGGGGGGAAGGTGAGAGGGGTCATCAGAGACAGAGTAGAGAGCAGAACAGGCAGATCTACCGAAAAACACTGCTGAGGGGAGCAGCGGGTTGAGACAGGAGAGGTCTGCTGAGCCAAGTGGGTCACCTCATGGCTGGGGATGGAGCTGGTGCTACAGTGACTGAACAGTGTTATAATGCTGTGTTTTAACCCCTGTGCCACCAGGGAGTGTCCTTTATGAGTTTGAATTCTGTCCTGTTCCTGTTACTCAGGAGACAAGCCTCATCTGCTGACCCACAGGATTTTTCCCTTTGCTTTTTCTTTGACAAAATTGACCTGATAGTGCTCTGGGCAAAACCTCTTTGTCATATTTCATGCTGACGACTTAAGAAAATTCTCTTCTCTCCTTGATTGAAACGTCTGGAAATCAAGTGCATACTATGCTCTCTAAGCAGCAATCCATGCACACTTTCTCAAAGTATTCTTTTGACTCACAGGCAGATGGTGCAAAACCCAGCTGGTCTCACCATTTCTGGGCTTGCTTTTGATGACATCAAACCGTATATGTTGCTAGCCACAAGCTCCTCCCCTCTCTGCTTCAGGGTGCCTGTGGCAAAAGCTGGTGGGTTAACCAAAAACTTTACACCTGGTTACAAGGTGCAAGCAACATGCAGCCTAAGTTTCCCCTCCTCCGTCCTGAATATTCGTACTCAACTGATGAAAGAAGTCTGAGAAGAAACAGAAGAAAATGTAGAAGAGACCAGGCAAGAGGGATAGGGATGGGGAGTGACATCAAGGCAGGGGGCAGAGGGTAGAGGTGTTGGGAAGAAGGGTGGCTGGAGCTCACGGTAAAGAGGTCATGAGAGATCTGGAAGCTTTCAGCATAGACACTGGGTGGTGAGGCAGGATTGCCCTTACAATTTTATCAATTTAGGCAGAGGTTTGGTTAAAATTACATCAATCCAAATTCTTGTATCTTTTAGCATTTTCGACCAAACACAAGGGAAAGTGACTTGTTGAGTTTCTCTGTGGTAGAGAGAAACAGGTGGCCACAGTTGGGTTTTTTTTTTTTTTTTTCTAAAAACCAGTCAACCAGAGTTAGAAGTAGTAGTCAGACGACAACTTCTGGGCAGAACCCAAGATGGAAAAAGCAAATGGTGTTTATATAAATAGAGGCACAGAGCCCATAACTTCCTGTTGACAAATCAAACTCACTTCACCTCAAACCCTCACTTTTTTTTAAATAGCTGATAGTGTGTTTTTTTTCGATTTGTTCAATCACTGTCAGTGTAAGACAGAGACCTCGGGTCCTACAGTCCTTTTCTGTCTTTGGCATTTTTTAAACCTTTCTGTTTTTCCCTTTCTTCTGTTTTTACCAAGCCAAGCATCTGTGATGGGTAGCTTTAGAGTATATAATTAAAATGTAATCGTTCATGAGAACTGAATTTAAAGTGATCTCATCAGTTTGTATGGAATGGGCCTCCTCAAGGCTACACACAGAAAGTAATAGATGAGCACTGAGTAAGCATAAGGAAATATTTTCATAGCAAATGACCTAAATAATGCTTAGGGGGTGATGGCTATTGAGGTATCGATTATATACCATTTCTTAATATGTTGTTCTGTCTCAAATGACCCAATACAAGGAGTTACATGAAAGAAAGTGACAATTGCACACACAACGATAATCTTAAGTTTGCATAAAATTGCATCCATAAAGCATTTACTTGCAATTGGGTAAGATTTGGGAGCTAGAGGAAAATAAAGTTAAATTATACAATCTAGCTTCTGGAACTGGGTAATCTTATTTAAAAAAAAAAAACAAGAATTACTCCAATAACATTTTTTATAACCAGGAATGACAGTTTGAGTGGAGCTGAAACTAATTTGTTTGAAGGTAACTAAAGTTAATCAACTGTTTTGTGTTGCCATTATCTCAAAAGCAGAGACAGAAATATGAAGCAGCATAGCAGTTGATAAAAGAACAAAATCTATTAATTCAGAGGATCTACCCATAAGAATTGTGGTATGTTCTCACATAGAGAAGGAATAATCCCTCCCCCACAATGTTGGAACAATATGGTATATTTGTGCAAGGGCATTGAGACCACAAATCAACATAGGGGTGCATTTAACACACACAAAAAAGTGGCATTTGCTTCAGAGCCCATCCTTAAATGACACTAGTTGTGTGATCCTGGGGGAATAAATAATCTCAACTGGTGGGAAGACATGTGCCTTACAAATGGTTCATGTATTCAAAAGAGTTAGCCCAGTTAAGACTATCATGTATTTAAGAAGACTATAGCATTTTCCTACAACTTAAGCTGATTGGTTTCTCTCATTGCTCTGGAGTAGGTACACGCTTCTATTCTGTCCCTTGTAACAGAGAGCTGGCCCTTGCTGATTAGCTGATGAATAGAGAGATGCAGAAAACAGCAAGTTCTAATTTACAGTTCAAAAGATTCCTGACTTAATTTCTTTTTTTTTTTTTCTGTAAAGATTTGTTTACGCATCCAGAACTGGGGCACAGGCCAGAGGGGCAGGGGTGGTGAGAGGAATCAGAAGAGAGAGTGGGGAGCAGAACAGATGGTTGTCTGAAATATACTGCTGAGGGGAGCAGTAGGCAAGGCAGGAGAGTTCTGCTGCGCCATGAGGGTCCCCTCCCTGGCCAGGGACTGAACTGGTGCTGAAGTGACGTGCTTAGCTTTGCAGTTCTGCGCTTAAACAGTTGTGCTACCAGAGAGAGGCCCCTGATTTAATTTTTCTAACATCCCAAATCTTCCAGGGAGAGACTGCCGCAAACCCTTAAAGGTCCTAGTAGATACATATGTTGGGTTCCAGGATGGCGCCTCCTACTGGGCAAAGGAATTTATGTTCTTCTTTTTTTTTTTTTTTTGACAAGCAGCAATATCATGCTTGTCATATTAATGGAGATACAAAAACTCTATGCCTTTTATGATACATAAAACAGCAACACATCAACTGAAAACGAAGAAAAAGCATGCCAGCTAGCCAAATGTTCATACTTTAGCATAATTTTTTAAAAATGAGTTTTAATGCCTTTTTTTTTAAAGATTTATTTATTCATTCATACAGAACTGAGGTACATGCCAGAGATGAGGAGGGCGAGAGGATTCACCAGAGACAGAGTGGGGAGCAGGACAGGCAGATCGACGAAGTACACTGCTGAGGGGAGCAGCAGGAGGGTTGGGAGAGGTCTGCCGCGCCATGTGGATCTCCTTGAGGGCAGGCGGGGATAGAACTCATGCGGAAGAGGCTGGAAGAGGCTTTAGCTTCTTAGTGCAGTGCTTTAACCAGGGAGGACCCCCTTTAGCATAATTTCAACAAGATTTTAAGAATGGCCAAGGGCCTCCCTGGTGATGCAAGAAGTAAAGTCTCAGACTATTAAAACTATCAGCAGCTACTGCAGCATAAGATCCATCCCCAGCCAGGGAGCTGACACACAGGGCACAGCAGACCTCACCTGTCTCACCCCCTGCTCCCTCAACAGTGCATTTCAAACATTCCCCCTGTTCTGTTCCCACACAATGCCTCTGGTGGGAACAAGAGGATTCTTGTTCCCCACCCTCTCCCCCCACATCTCTGGCCGACACCCCAGCTCCTCTGTGCATTGATAAAATAAAATTAAAAAAAGAAATGCCAAGATGGCGTGTGCCTATGTCTCCAAGCAGAAAGCTCAGGACAAGGCACTGGTAATGCTGTCAACAGCCGGAAAACAGAGGCTGCCCAATGACCAAATCATGGGACCCAGGTGGACTTTCTTCCACAGAACTTAAAGTGAAGCGGTGACCTCATACCCATGAGGTAAAAGGGTGATACCACACAATGCAATAGTATTCATCTGCTCCCCTTTGGACTGTGCTCCATGTACTCTGTCTATCAGAACTTCAATGCACTCTGTGATTATGCTGCTACTGGGGTAAGCTTAGCTCTAGACTGACTAATCACCTCTTGAATAAGGTGACTATGCCCAGTATTTTATGTGTTTTTATGATTCAAACTATAGCTGCTTGGAGGTACATGTTCTGCTTTTCATTTATAGCACTTCTAGTTTGTTCCATT